TAAATCCGTCGGTAAAACGCCCGCCGGTAATTTTATCGACGAAATTCTTCGCTTGTCGATGATTAGCGACGAAAATATTCCGTCGGTGTTTAGCGATGGGCAAAATTGTAGCTGATTAGCGACGGTATTAGCTACAATTTAGCCGTCGCAAATTACCTACGGATTTAGGTACGTTGGTAATTAGATACGGATTTTCCGTCGCAAACTTGAAAAAAAAAAATTAAAAAAAATTTGAATTCCGTTATGCCTCTGTTTCCACCTTTGCCTTGACCTCCCCCTGTGTTTCTAGCAGCTCCATCATCCAAACCTTGAACAATGCCTTTTGCTTTGGAGCTATCCTCTCTACCTCTTCCTCTTCCACGCCCTACTCCAGGTGGCCTCCTATATGGAAAATATCCAAAGACAGCAGTTAACTTACAACAAGTTTCTGTCAAGCTTGCCCATACATTTCCGCAATTTCATCAAGCTTGTAGCTTTAAAACTTTCGTCTTTCAGAATTTATAGCATTTTTGGATATTCCATTCATATTATCCCATGTTATCAAACTAAAATAAAAATGTAACCAAGTGATGAAAATGAAATAAATTGAAGTTGTGGTTAAAATGAGAAGTAGAAGCCCAAAAAGAAAAAAAAAAAAAACACAGTTCTTTCTTAATTCTACAAAATTGGTGTGGGTTTTCAGACAAGATATCGATAAGCGGCAACTTTTCTCTTGCGAGAGGTGGTGTTATCGACGGAAAGCACCATTTTTCCTGCTTCTCTGGCCGTAAACGAGCTGTGAATTGCCTCTTCATCGGCTGCAATCCTTCTCTGTTTCTCCACAGTAATGGTGTAGCTGCCTCGGCAATGGGAACAAATTCAGCACTGTATTCCAATTCCCAACCACCCACTACTATGTCCCATGATATTGTTGCACCAGCCTGCATTGTAATCCCCCCACCCCCAAAAAAAATTAAAAAAAATCAATTTCGTATAAGGAACCACTTAGTGATACACTTGAGACTTGTTGAACAAACTCGTCTAAAATCTTAAACCATTCAAATACGAAAATCCATTTACTTGTGTTTATATCTTTGACGGAATCTTCCTACTAGATTATTACCTCAATGTCCTCAATTTGTATGTTGACTTTCTCTCCTCCTTTGACAGTAAACTCGAATGCTGATTTTGGTGAACCATTAAGGACATTACTGGGTCGACTCAGTCCACCATACTGAACAGGGACGTCCTCTGGCCAAATAAACCTGATCAGAATAAACAATTCGATACAGTACAATCTACAAAAGAAGCAAATTCAAACAAGAAAATCCCCATATAATAAATTCATCAACACATAAAACAAATAATGCTTGGTTTTAATCTTGTCTAGTTTGTTCAATTTGGCTCCAAAAAAACAGTAATTTAGAAGAAAAAAATCATAAATGCTCAATTTATGTTTCCATGGAAGAAAAATGACAGAAAATTAGTTTAATGTTTGAAGTAATTTACAGAAGATAAATGCAGAGGAGTTTGAGATACTCACTTGTAAAGTGTCTCGGCAACATTTCCTTCCTTGGATATCACAAATTTGCTCTTTGTTCTTCGAGTGAGAAATGGACTAAACATTGAATACAGCAGACTAAAATACCATGGCACATTGATAAAGATCTGCAAAATCAAAACCATGGAATGCAAGAAAATAGTATTGAAACCACTATCAAAACCCAGAGAACTCAGCTAAATCAATTTCCAAAAATCCCTAAATCACATATTCAAATTCACATTCAAAATCCCTAAATCCATTATCCATAAAAGCCCTAATAGAAAACGGGAACTTACCTTTCACAGGCTGACAGGAGCAGTCGCTGACGACAGGAGTTGGAGCTTGGAACGGGCAGAACTCCGTCTCGAACTCTCGCCTCTGGGTGCTGGGAAACGGAACGTGGGTGGGTGGGAGACATGTAGACGGGATTAAGATTTATTGGTTGGATTTTGGAGATGGCCAGAAGGGAGAAAACGGAGAAGAACGGCGACTGGGCTGCTGGAGAAGTGAGTTCACGGGGCTGGGCTGCTGGGAAAGGCCGAGTGGTTTGGGAAGAAAGGGAAAGTTGGGTTGAAAGAGGGAGGGAAATAGACAAAATTAGTGGGAAGTGAAAATTTAAGTTGTAGGGAAATTGTTTATCAACAAATTTTTTACATTGTAAAATATTTTATTCTTTTTTTTTTTGCCCTTTCCAACGGAAATATCCGTTGGTAAAGTTATTGATAAATTATTTAATTTATCATTTAATTATTTGTTATTTTTTACCGAAGGATTAGCAACAGAATTATACTAACGGAAGACTTTCGTTGGTAATTCCGTCGGTAATTTAATATATAATTTTTAAGAATAATAAAATAAT